GAGTGCTTACATAGCATGTGCAAGACCCTGGTTCAGTCCTTCTTGCTGCAAGTTAAACGGGGAGCGGGTACACATCTGTCCAAAGCATCAGCACATGATACCTGTTAGCAACAATGTGGCTGATCTGTAGATCTGTAATACATTTGCAGGGATTTGGGGGTTAGGTGTGTGTGGAGGTGATTATTATAGTTGGTGACATTTTGAAATATTTCAAACTCCTTCAGCAGAAAATGGGTTAGGGCAGGTTGAAAGCTACCTATCCCCACAAGTGACCCCCCCCCCTCCCTTTGAAGTGTAACAGCTAGGACTCAGGGGCCACTGAGGCTCCCTTGTCTCCTCATAGCTTGACTCCACCTCTTTACCCATAGGCCCATATTTGGATCAGAAGGGTCTGGTGCTCTTAAGTTTGGAAACTGAGGCCTTCTGTGTTCCTCTGATTCAGTCTTCAGCCCTAAGTGAAGCTTGGCTGGGTAATCAAGTAGAAAGTGCAGCAGCCTTCCTTGGTCCAAAGAGTGGGGAAAGGGCTGGGAAGGTGGCTCAGTGGTAGAGCGCTTGCCTTGCATGCCTGAGGCCCTGGGTTCGATTCCTCAGCACCACATAAACAAAAAGAAAAAAGCCGGAAGTGGCGCTGTGGCTCAAGCGGTAGTGCGCTAGCCTTAAGCTGAAGAGCTGAGGGACAGTGCCCAGGCCCCGAATTCAGGCCCCACGACCGGACCCAAAAACAAAAAACAAAAAAAAAACAAAGAGTGGGGAAAGATAGTTGCACAATTACTTTGCTTTTGAGATTCCTTTAAAGCAAAAGCTGGCTCTTTGCTTAAAACAAGCCCTTGGGGGCTGGAAGGTGGCTCAGTGGTAGAGTGCTTGCCTTGCATGCATGAGGCCCTGGGTTCGATTCCTTAGCACCCCATAAGCAGAAAAACCTGGAAGTGGCGCTGTGGCTCAAGTGGTAGAGCGCTAGCCTTGAGCTGAAGAGATGAGGGACGGGCGCAGGCCCAGAGTTCAGGCCCCACAACCGACCAAAAAAAAAAAAAGCCCTTGGACTTCACTGTCTCTCACCTTTCTGTGTCTTCTGAAAATGCCATCCCTGTCCCCTTAGCAGGGCTGGTGCCCAGGGCGTTCTTTCTCCATGTTCCTCTGAGACGATGACAGCTGACCACAGTAATGTGGATAGAAAGTGAGAATTATTCAATACTGACAGTTTCTGCTGAGATGCCTCTGGGAACCTCAGTGTCATGCACAGTGCTGGGGGCCCCAAGCTACCATTGGGAATTTAGACAGATGTAGATTGGCAGTCCTTGAAACTTGTCGTCTGACAGAGGAAGGATTTGTAGACAGGCCATGGTTCTAAAAACTGTTCACGGAGAGATCATTCCAACAAGCGCTTTATAAGCTTTTAGGTCTTCACAGCTGTTAGGAAAAATGTAAATGAGGTTAAGAGGTTTACTTTAGAAAGAACTCGTGGCCTCTCCTCTTACTCCTCTCACTCCTCTGCTTAAAAGCTACAGCTGTGTCCACTAATTTTGCTTCTTTTGGCTTTTTGTCCACTAAGGATGGAGGTGGGAGAAGAATGAGTTTCACCTCATATAGAAACTGAATTACAATCCAGGTGCCAGTGGCTCACACCTGTAATCCTAGCTACTCAGGAGGCTGAGATCTGAGGATTGAGGTTCAAAGCCAATCCAGGCAGGAAAGTATCTACAATTAATCTTATCTACAATTAAAACCAGAAGTGGCTCTGTAGTTCAAGTGGCAGAGCACTCACCTTGAGCTGAAGAGCTCAGGGACAGCGCCCAGGCGCAGAGTTCAAGTCCCACGACCAACAGAAAAGAAATAAACTGAATTTCAAGAAGACTAAATAAATACATTTTTATTTATTTTTATTATTATAAAGATGACGTACAGAGAAGTTACAACTATGTAAATCAGGTGAAGAATACATTTCTTTTTGGACAATGTTATCCTTTCCCTTGCTCCCTCCCAGTTTTTCCCTCCTGTACCCAACCACAAGTTATATTGCTCATTTTCAACATAGTGTCTAGTGAATACCATTGATGCATTTGTTCACCCTTTGTGCCTCCATTTTTGTGCCTTCCCTTACCCCCCCAAAGATAAACAAACAAGACAAAAAGAAAAGGAAAACAAAAAAAAGCCCTCGTTTCCATTTCTTGGAGTTTGTTTTGATAAATATTATTTATATGATCAGAGGCACATAGGCATTGCACCTTTGTGTTCCTCCCCTAAGAGTGCCCCTGCTGTCACTATGTGTGAACGCCTAGAGAATAAATACGTTTAAAAAACAACATAAAGGACCAAAAGAAAATGAGGAGGACGTTTTTATAATTTTGGTGTAGGGGAAGAGACCTTCAGCATCACAAAGGAAAAGAAGTATGGGTTAAATAACATAAAACGAAAAAACTTTACTACACCATCTTGGACAAAGAAAAAAGGCATATAGTCTGGGAGGAAATATTTGCGGCATATAAAGAAAAAGTAGTAGAAGTGGCACTGTGGCTCAAGTGGTTGAGTGTTTGCCTCAGGGACAGCATCCAGGCCCAGAGTTCAAGCCCCACGACTAACAAAAAAAAAAAAAAAGAAAGAAAGTCGTTATGAGCAAGGTGTAATATGTATGTCGATAATCCTGGCTATTCAGGAGGCTGCGCAGGAGGACTAAGTTCTAGGCCAGCCTTGACAACTTAGCAAGACCTTGTATGAAAATAAAATTAAGGCTGGATGCCAGTGCCTCACGTCTGTAATCCCAGCTAATTGAGAGGCTGAGATCAGGAGGATCACAATTTAAAGATAGCCTGGGCATACATACTAGAGTCCTTCCCAGCTGGGTATGGTGGCATATGTCTGTCATCCCACCTACATGGGAGGCTGAGATCAGGAGGATCATAGTTCCAGGCCAGCCTAGGCAGAAAAGTCTATAAAACTCAATCTCAACAGAATAAGCCATGAGGTTGTATGTGCCTGTTATTTCAACTATAATGGACTCAGGCAAAAATTGAGATCCTATATCAGGAATAACCATGGATATCAGGCTTATAGCTGTAATCCCAGCTATTCAGGAGTATTGTGATTCAAAGCCAGTCCAGGCAGAAAAGTCCTCAAGACTCATCTCCAATTAACCACCAAAAACCTAGACCAGAGGCATGGCTGAAGTGGTAGAAGGCCAGCTATTATCAAGGAGAACAGGGTTGAGGCACACACACACACAGCCAAAAAGAGTTGAAGGTTTGGTTCAATGACACTTGTCTAATAAGTATGAAGCTGTGAGTTCAAATCTTAGAACTCATTTTCCTCCTCCCCCTCACTCCCCCCCCACACAAAAAAGGGAAAACAGTGATGTAGTTCAGTGGTAGAGGATGGAAGGGAAGGGTTCTGGTGGCTCATGCCTGTAATCCTAGCTTCTCAGGAAGCTGAGATCTGAGAATTGCTGTTCAAAGCCAGCCCAGGCAAGAAAGTCCATGAGACTCTTTATTTCCAGTTAACCACCAGAAAAGCCAGAAGTAGAGCAGTAGCTCAAGTTAGGGAGTGCTAGCCTTGAGCAAAAAGATTCAGGGACAGTGTTCAAACCCTAGGACAGAGACAGAGAGACAGAAAGAAATAAGCAAAGAGAAAAACAGGAAAAGGACATTCTGTCTCTGTAGCCTACTGCCTTTTGAGTCTCATAAACATGTGAATTACATGTTCTGCTGGCCTGAGTTGTAAGGGTAATTGTGCAGCCTCTATCTGGACCTGTTTACTAAAAGGCCTGTTGGCTTCTGTCTGTCAGGTAGTTAAAATTCCTACCTGGAGGCAGTAGGGGTTATGTGCTTTGGTGGTTCCTGACAACCCCGGATTGCTTATTGAAGTGGTGAGGCAATTGATTGTGTACAAAGAGGCCCAAGGCCCAGTGCTTAATGCGAGGTTGCTAGCTTCTAATCATTAAAAATTGGAAAGTCTCATTACCTCTCCATCTGTGTTTGCTCATCTTTGTTAACAGGATTCAAGGTAGTAGCTTCCTGTTGGGTGGTGGGAGATATTATCTGCCTAGTGCTCAAGCATTGCCTTGTGTGAATTAACATCTGGCATGTTAGCTGTTAATATGACTGAAAGGTCATCCTTGACCTTTATCTCATGACTAGAAAAGGAACTCCTTTCCTACCTCTAGTGACTCTAGGATGAGTAGTACTTTCATGCATCTGGAAGGGATAGAGCAGGAAAAAAAACAGGTGCCCACTTTTTCTCAGACACACACAGAATGAGAGAAGGTAGAACTAATCATTCCTAGGGAGTTTCCTCTGTGTGTGTGTGTGTGTGTGTGTGTGTGTGTTAAATACTAGAGCTTGAATTCAGCACTGGTCTTCTCACTTAGCTTTTTCTGCCAAGGCTGGCACTCAATCACTTGAACTACAACTCTACTTCTGGCTTTTGTTGGTTAATTGACTTAAGAGTCTCATGAACTTTGTTTCCTAAGCTAGATTCAAACTGTGATCCTCAGATTTCAACCTCCAGAGTAGCTAGATTACAGAAGTAAGCCACTAGTGCTTGGCCTGTTTTCCTGTTTTTGAAGAAATGGTTTAGGTGTCCATATACTTGAAAATGCTTCATTTTCCTTCTAAGCTCTGTGCCTTTTCTAGCTTACCATTAAGAAAGCTAGCATTGAGCCAGGCGCCGGTGGCTCACACCTGTAATCCTAGCTACTCAGGAGGCTGAGATCTGAGGATCATGGTTCAAAGCCAGCTTGGGCAGGAAAGTCCGTGAGACTCTTATCTCCAATAAACCACTAGAAAACCATGAGTGGCACTGTAGCTCAAGTGGTAGAGTGCTCGCCTTGAGCTGAGAGCACAGGGTCAGCGCCCAAGCCCAGAGTTCAAGCCCCACGACCGACAAAAAAAAAAAAAAAAAAAAAGAAAGCCAGCACTACATTAATAGAACAGGTAGATAGCTAAGAATGTGCAAATTCTAGTGACCAGGGCAAGTTGACTTCCTAACCAGGGTTTTGTTTCTTTCTGCAGGAAATAAATGGTATCACTGCAGCACTGGCTGAAGAACTCTTTGAAAAAGGTATGTGGTCATTAGTCCTTGAAATATAGGCACACCTTGACTAGTCTTAACTAGGCATCTGGAGACCCAAGGCAGCACAGAACTCAATGTGTTGAGTCCTAGCCAGGGTTTACCTCCTTGGGGGTGCCCAAATCCCTGGCCCTGGTTCACAGCTAAGCCTGCCTACCTACCTACAGGTGAGAGGCTATGGTCCATCCAGAGACTTTTTTGAGTTCCTATGTCGAGGACTTATTCTTTAGTGGAATGCTGAAAGGTAGCTGCAATGTTGCATCTTGTACCTGGTTTGTTCTTGCTTGAAAGACTATAAAGAGCAAGTAGAAGATAACCTTGAGTCATAGAACTATCAGAAAGCATGGTAACAATAGCTGACATGTAATGAGCATGCCTGCCACCAGTCCTATGGTTAACATCGTATTGGCTCCCTCCCTGCCTACCCCCCCCCCCAGCAGGTAGAAGTGAAAATACTGACAAGAGGCCCAGTAACCTGTGTGAGGGTACATGGCTAACAAGAAGGCGCACAAGAACCAAATGCCAGTCAGTCTGGCTCAAAAGCTCTCAGGCTTCTCACTGACCTGGCATCTTAGGCTTGCACCTAACTTCAACATCTGCATTTTGGAGGTTGCAGCATATGTCTGACTTGGCCTCATTCTTTAGAGTGGCTCTCCAGTTGCACAGCCCCATTCCCTTTCCTCTGTCTCCACACATCCCAGGCTGCCCTGTGCTCAGTGTGAGCTCAGGAGGGCAGCAGTTCCTGCATGGTTAAGGCTGTAGTTTCATCTGACACTGTGGGTGAATGTAATAGGTGCTTGCTCAGTGTTGATTGACCATTGGCATAGTGAACAGATGCCCTGGTTGTACAGTGGACTGGGGTTAGGGTTAGACACTCATCCCCTGGGAATTGGCTGTTGCAGGAGAACAGCTCTTGGGGGCTGGTGAGGTCTTTGCCATCAGACCCCTTCAACTGTATGCAGTCACCCAGCAGCTGCTACAAGGAAAGCCCACATGTGCCAGTGGGGATGCCAAGACTGACCTTGGGCATATTCTGGACTTCACCTGTCGCCTTAAGTACCTTAAGGTAAGGATGCAGCTGTTCAGCCATGTAGAGCCATTCAGTTGGCTCACTGACAGCTGGCAAGTGAGTTTGAAGGTTCAGGAGCTCTTTGTGGAAAGACCATCTAGTGTTCTTCACACTGTGAACACCAGGGGGCACCATGACCCAGTATACTTTTACTTTAAGCTTTGGCCTAACCATTTTGTTGAAAATAGAAGTTATCAAAGTTTCAAGTTTGGCAGCTACTGGTGCACTAAAATGTGGATGGTGAGCGGTGGCAGCAGCATCCCTAATTTAAGCTTTGTCTTTTTGCCTCAGGTTTCTGGCACAGAAGGACCTTTTGGGACTAGCAACATTCAGGAGCAGCTCCTGCCGTTTGATCTGTCAATATTCAAGTCTCTTCACCAGGTAGAGGTAAGGCCTGGGGCCGCTGAGATGCTGGCAGGGCTGAGTCAAGAACAGGCACCATCTCTCTCTGACTATAGCTAAGTAGCTGTTTTGATGTCTAATGGCCAGATTTAATCACAAAACACTGCTTGGTCAAACTTGGTCTCTGATGCTTTTACTCATTGGCTGACAGTCTATCATCTGAGCCACACCTCCAACCCCCAGATGTTTACAGTTGAGGAAACTAAGGCTTAGTGAGACAAGGAAGTATGGCTAGGATCATCAGGTTCAGGAGCAGCAAACTGAGATTTGCTTTGGGTTTTGGGGCCACTCCTCTTGATGGAAGCTCAAGATGTTTGTCTCAACCACTACTGGCTAGGGCCTCAAAAGGCAGCTGAGGCTCTGTCTGGTCTGTGAGTTTGTAGCACTGGGGTCAAGTGGGCTTGGCCTCTCACCACAGGACAGCTGAGGGCAGTGGACTGGGGTGGGGCCAGCAGGAGTTTCACCACACTTGCCGCACTGCGGAGGCCATTTGCTCTTTGCTTTCCGTGGCTGGTTCCCATGACCCACCCTTTATATCTACCTGACAGGCTCCAAGAAGCCCTTAACAAGAAAATGGATTTTGTGATGTATTGCGAATCTGAGGATCGGAATGCCTTTCATGCTAAGTACTTCACAGAATGCTTAGTCAGCTCTGTCTAGCACTGACAAAAAAAAGGATTAGGTTTTGACTCCTGCCTGTGAGGGTTTGGGCTTGCCCATTGTTGGACTTCTTTTGTGCATTGTGGGTTGAGTGCTCACTTCCTGGAACTTCTGATGGGGCAGGTTATTTCTCAGACGTAGCTGTGCTTTGTTCCAGATAAGTCACTGTGATGCCAAGCACATCCAAGGGCTGGTTACTTCGAAGCCTACCTTAGCCACGATGAGTGTCCGCTTCTCAGCAACCTCCATGAAGGTGAGCTTTTGCCTGTGCTGTGGGGCATGGTTCCAGCTATGACCCCTGCAGTGTCTTATCAGTACTCATAGGACTGTCCAGCTTATAATGGACCCTGAGGTACTTGAATCTGCATCTTCACCGTAAGTCAGTATTCATTAGACATTTTAGAGGGACTGGGACTTTTTCTTGAAAAAAATTTTTATGTTGTATTTTTTTTTTGGTCAGTCATGGGGCCTGCACTCTGGGCCTGGGCACTGTCCCTCAGCTCTTCAACTCACGGCTAGTGCCCTACTGCTTGAGCCACAGAGCCACTTCTGGCTTTTTCTGCTTATGTGGTTTTGAGGAATCGAACCCAGGGCCTCATGCATGCAAGGCAAGCACTCTACCACTGAGCCACCTTCCCAGCCCCTTATTGTTATATTTTATGTTTGTCTTTCTGCTTTTGCATATTTGGTACTTGAGTTTGAACCACTTGAGCCATATCACAGCCCTTTTTACTTTAGTTATTTTTCAGATAAGATTCACATTTATGCCTGGCCTGGACCACAGTATTATTTGTGCTTCCTGTGTGGCTAGGATTACAGGCATGAGCCATTGTGGTCAGCTTTTTTTTTTTTTGGTCGGTCGTGGGGCTTGAACTCTGGGCTTGGGCCAAGACGAGCGCTCTACCACTTTAGCCGTAGCGTCACTTTTGGTTTTCTCATGGTTTATTGGAGATAAGAGTCTCCCAGACTTTCCTGCCCAGGCTGGCTTTGAACCTTGATCCTCAGCTCTCAGCCTCCTGAGTAGCTAGGATTACAGGTATAAACCACCGGCGCCCGGCTTGTGGTCAGCTTTTTATTGGTTGAAATGGGGTCTCATAAATCTTTTGCTTGGCTGGCCTTAAACTGTGATCCTGATTTCAGCCTCGTAAGTATCTTTCTGCGAGCCACCACATCCAGACTTTTTTTTTTTCCACTAAGTAGTCCAGGCTGGCCACAAACTTGTGATCCTTCTGGGATTATAGGATGTATTGCCATGCTTCTCAAGGTTATTGTTTTTTGTTTGTTTGTATGTGTGTATGCCAGTACTAGAGCTTAAACTCAAGGCCTGGACATTGTCTTACAGCTATTTCACTCAAGGCTGACACTCTACCACTTGAGCTATACCTCCACTTGCAGCTTTTTGGTGACTTTGGAGATAAGAGTCTCATGGACTTTCCTGCTCAGGCTGGCTTTGAATTACAGTCATCAGATCTCAGCCTTCTGAGTAGCTAGGATTACAAGCATGAGCCACCTCTTGTTCTTTTAATGACTAAATTGTGGCTGTGTAGCAGGTAACATTAGTTTGATAGTTTAACTTCATTTAAGCCTAAAAAACAATCCTGGCTTCCATTCATTTGTATCTCATGCTCCATGAACTTGGAAGTTAAAGGTAAGGAATAGAAGTGCTAGACCCCAATGTTCATACATGAGCCACAGAACCACTCCAATTGGAAATGTAAGCTCCTTTTACCTTCTTAAGGATTTTATCTTAGTAATGTTAAGATCCAAATCTGAGTATACAAAAGACTGGGAGAGTGGGAGGGGGATGGGGCAGAGGGTTACTGGACTTGAACTCAGGACCTGGGTATTGTCCCTGAGCTCTTTTGCTCAAGGCTAGTGCCTACCGCTTGAGCCATAGTTCCACTTCTAACTTTTTGTGGTTACATGGAGATAAGAGTCTTAGGGACTTTTAGTGGCTGTTGTGCTTTTAAACCTTTGGGTTATTTCATAATCGTTTAAAGACACATGAACCAAAGCCTGTTTTAATGCAAGCTCACTTCCACATGCTAAATATGCTCAATTCCTTCCTTAAATTTTGCAAGAGTGGTGTTCCAGTTAGTGTTGCGTGAGGCCTGAGCATGGTGCTCAACAGATGTTCTTACACAGGAAGTCCTTGTTCCTGAAGCCTCAGAATTTGATGAGTGGGAGCCCGAAGGCACAGCCCTGGAAGGCCCTGTGACTGCTGTCATCCCCACTTGGCAAGCATTGACTGCTCTTGACCTGAGCCACAATAACATCTCCGAGATCGACGAGTCTGTGGTACGTTTGCAGCAGCCAGTGCTAGGGACCACTCTGCTCTGATCACATCCTGAGGGCTGGATATTTCATTACTTTGTCTGGAATGACCACAGACAAACCTGTATTCATAGTTCTGTGTGTCACCTGAAGATTTTAAGTTAAATTTCAAAGTGAGACTGCTTAAAGTTGGCAGTAAATACTTAAAACTAAGTGAAACATTTCAATTGCATGTACCTTTAGTATAATAAAACCATGGTATGTGGTGATATTTACTCCTAAGAAATGTAGAAGAAAAACTCTTTCTAAGAGTATTCATAGTTCTGTGTGTCACCTGAAGATTTTAAGTTAAATTTCAAAGTGAGACTGCTTAAAGTTGGCAGTAAATACTTAAAACTAAGTGAAACATTTCAATTGCATGTACCTTTAGTATAATAAAACCATGGTATGTGGTGATATTTACTCCTAAGAAATGTAGAAGAAAAACTCTTTCTAAGAGTTTAAAAGATGGGCCCATGGAAGAGTGCTATCTTGATGACTTTAAGGCTATAAGAGTGTGAATCTTTGTGCTCAGTGGGAGTGGACAGAGCTGGAGAAGAGCAGACTTCCTTATCTGTTTGGGATGTTGCCATTTGTATTGTCATAGCCAAATGTTTTATGTCATCAGTAGCTAGTCTTCATCCCTAGAGTCTCTGTGTGTCTCTTTGTATGTGTTGCTGAGTGGAAACAGGAGGTGTCACATTAGGGCTTCGTGGGCATAGCCAGCTGAAAGTCTGGTCAGGAGAAGGAGTTCCCTGTCACCTGGTTACAGACCATGTAGGGTATAGGCTGCTAGAGAGTAACATGATTTTTTTTTCTTTCACAAGAAACTGATCCCAAAGATTGAGTTCTTGGACCTGAGTCACAATGGTGTGCTGATTGTGGATAACCTACAGGTAATGTCTGTCTAGGGCAAGGTCTGCCACCTGCCCTTTAGGCTTCTAGTGATACGCTGAGTGATTATTGCTCTAAAGAATTAGAATGATAACTATAGACTGAGGGTCATAACAGTGGTGCAGTGTCCTGAAGATGGGCAGGCTTATTTTAAATGCTCCCACCAGCCCGCCTGCAGAGTAGCACTAGGTTGTGGCATGTGCAGGGGAGAAGAGAATCTTCCTCCAATAACCATCAGAGAGACTGGCGGAGCTACCTTGCAGAACTGGTCAGTTTGGGTTGGAAGGGTGGTGGGCTCCCTCTGTGGAAGCTTTACCTGGGCTGCTGCCCTGTTCTCAATGCTGCTGCAGCACCTGTACAACCTCGTGCACCTGGACCTGTCCTACAACAAGCTCTCCTCCTTGGAAGGCGTCCACACCAAACTGGGTAACATCAAGACCTTGAACCTGGCGGGCAACCTCCTAAAGAGCCTGAGTGGCCTGCATAAGCTCTACTCCCTCCTTAACTTGGACCTCAGTGACAACAGAATTGAACAGGTAAGTCGCAGTCCTAAGGGGCTTCAGAGCTCTGGGATTGCTGGGCCTTGGTGTTTATCACTTTAAGGAAGATCGTGAAGATTCCTTTCATTTAAAAGAGGCTCCAGCGTGTTGTCGTGTTGCTGAAGTGTTAGGAGAAGGGGCCAAGGGGGATGGCGCTCATGCCTTGCAGATGGAGGAAGTCAGGAGCATTGGAAGCCTCCCGTGTCTGGAGCACGTAGCCCTGCTGAACAACCCTCTCAGCATCATCCCTGACTACCGGACCAAGGTGCTCGCTCAGTTCGGAGAGCGGGCCTCTGAGGTGAGCCTTGGGAGAGTCCAGTGAGATAAGTGGGATGGAGTCCAGGGCAACATGGACAGGAAAAGTGGGAGGAGGGGAGAGGAGGAGGCGGGGAGGGACTGAAGTGAAGGGGGACTACTACTCTATGCCCTTGCCTGCTTTAGAAAGATGTCTGTTCGCCTTCCCTATCTAGAAAGTCCATTTTCCCCAGGAAAAGGCTCCCTGCATGCACCTCCCAGCCCTCTCTCACTGTCAGCTAGTCTGGGTTCCCCAACAGGATCTGTGTCCTGCCAGAGCTATAGGCCAGGAGGGCTCCCAGGAGTACAGAGCACAAATACAGGATATGCAGGAACTGTCTTCCATTTTGGGGGGAAAAACAACAACAACAACAACAACCAAAAAAAAACATTGTTCTAGCCAGAAATAAGGAACTTAAAGGAACTTAATTATGATAACTTCTCATGGTGCTTGACTACAGGTGCAACGGTTTTGTCCACCTTTGCCAATGTAGCCAACCCAGGGTCTGCTGTTTATTGGCTGTAGCCATCTACCTGCCTCCATGCTAAGCAAAGAGGTCTTTCCCTAGGTTCATTCGTTTCCCTCAGCTCCAGCAGACTCTGTCCCCATTCTCTTACCAGCCCTCAGAGCCTTTCTTCCCAGATCCTAGGCAAGAGACACCAGGGATCTCATTGTATCCTGCCTCCACCACCTTTCTGCCTCAAATGCTGCTTTTTCTACACTGTCCTCAACTCAGTCTTCATAAGATGCTATTTCCTGCTCTATTCAGCTCCACACCTGGGAAGTCAGCTCCTGTCCAGGTCCTTGGGACCTTTCCTCAGTTGAGCACGCTGCCTATCCCTAATAGTGTGCTAACCTTCCTCTCCCCCTGTGTTCCCAGACTAGGGTCTCTGCCCATCCTCCCTGCTCTTTATGCCTTTGCCTTGATGTGTCCCCTACCCAGAAGGCTCTCCCCTTGGCCCTTTGACCATCTGAGTTCTGCCTATAATGAGACCTAGTGCAGATCTCTCCCTTTCCCAGACCTAGACCCCCAAGAGGCTTGTGCTTCCTCTTCTTGGAGAGGGACTCCCAGAGAAAGAGGAAGCAGTACGAGATTTCCATTAGCCTCTCTAAGACATTCCCAAGTCACTTGGATGGTAATAAGGAGCCTGCCTCTTAGTGGGCTGGGCTTCCCTGTGCCTCCAGGTTCCTCCTGGGGGTGTTCTTCTACCACTCCTCAGCAAGGCCCCACCATGCTCGCCAATCTCTACACTTAAATCTGCTTTCTGGACTTTTGTAGGTATGTCTGGATAACACAGCAACTACAGAGAAAGAGCTGGACACTGTGGAAGTGCTCAAAGCAATTCAGAAAGCCAAAGACGTCAAGTCCAAACTGAGCAACCCAGAGAAGAAGGTGGGCATTTGTACGGGAAGAGTGGTGGTAAGAAGTAGGCCAGGGTGGGAGCAGTTCATGTGGGAAAATAGGATGTGGCATTGCTCAAGCCTGCTGAGTCCTGACTGTGCCACTCTGTGGCTGCAAGAGCATGGGTGGGACCCGCGGGACATGGAGATGCTGCTCAGGGCTGTGAGCTCAACATGAGAGCATTGAACTCCTCCCTCTACATCCTTGGCCTTGTTGGGTCTATTCTTCCTGCACTTTCGTTCTCTCCTGGGCTGATTTGAGCACTCCTCCTCAGGTTGGCGAGGATTCTCGGCTCCCAGCTGCCCCCTGCACCAGACCCAGTGGCTCCCCTCCCACCACGGCTCCCACCTCTGCCTCCCTGCCCCAGCCTATCCTCTCCAACCAAGGTAATGGAGTATGGCTCTTGCTTCTGGCAGAGCTGCCCAGCCTTCCTGGGTCCTCTGGCTGGGCTGTAGTTGGGGGGGTGAGATGCTAGTACCTGCTTCCTACAGGGTCAGGCATAGGGAGCGTGATGCTGTCTGCTGGCTGTCTGCTTAAGGGACTTGTGTCAGAGGGAGGAGGAAGCAGCTTGATTTCAGCACTGTTGTTTGCTTAGAGAGGACCATTGATGCTCTCACACCCACATCCAACTCCTCTAGGATACCATGGGGTGTCTGCCGGGTGTACAGAGACTCCCCTTTGAGCAGGCTTGGGCTGTGAGCTCATGAGGACCCAATCTCCTGCAGGCATGGTGGGCAGGCTGGTTCCTTGTTAGTGGGAGAAACTAGACCTTCCTTTACTGAGTCTGCAGCCCCAATCCTTGTGTGAGGAGCTTTCTTTTATCATTGCCTTGTCTCTGGTTCTTGAGGGGCGGCCTGCACCCAAACACTGCATCTGTGGAAACCAAGCTGAGTTATACAGATAAGCTATGTCCCTTTAAGACCAATTCCTTTCACCTGCCCCCTGTCTTAGCATTTTCAAAGGGCTTTCACCTCTGAACCCAGGCATCCTCGGAGATGAGTGAGTGAAGCAGGTCCCATGAGCATGTCTGCCTGCCCGGCCCCGACGGAAGAGGGGCAGGTGTGCCATCCCGAGTGGAGCTGAGGGTCGGGACACGCAGGAAAGAACGCCACCCGCCTGGGCTCCTGGAGACACAGAACTTGGTGTGAGGTCTTGGGAAAACAGTGTGACCCTAGGTTTCAAAGCGCCAGAAACATTCCCACCCCTTGACCTGGTGACCCCACTGGAGGAGATCATCTCAGAGAGGGATAAGATGCTCGGGGGAGAGGGAACATCAGGCTTGACATATACTCCCAAGGAGGGGAGGGAGAGCTAGCTGTAGTGCAGCTGTGGCAGTTCCATTAGGGAAAGAAGACTGGGCAGCAAGGAGGGAGATAGTCACATGTTTATGATAAGGCAAGAGGCCAATACAGAGCAGCACACTGAGATCATGCTTGTAACATACAGAAGAGAGTTTATGGAAGTGGACTGGTGAGACTAGGTGCCTGTACATTTGCTCATTTACTTAAGCCAAACATTTCAGATTTTTGGATTGTATTTTCTTTTTTTTTAACATAAAAGGTGAGGAAGGTTTGGATCCCTGTGAGAAAACTTTCCTGACCCTGCCACTTGCGTCCAAACCAGACCCACTACCCAAGCCCCTCTAATGCTAGCAACCCTGCAGAGGAGGCACATAAATAACTTCAGGCTTTCTGGGGTACAGGGAGGTGCAAGGTCCCAAATCCAAGGACATAGCCTTGGATCGCCAGGGGTCAGCAGTGGTTGAATCTGAGTGAGTGTGTGAACGAGCATGACCCCAGGTGGGTAGGAGGAATGAGTGTCTCCCCTAGAGCTGCGGTACAGCTGGTAAAGCCTCTGCAGCAGCTAGGTCCAACCTCATCTCCCCCTTTCTCTTTGCCCTCCTTGCCCAGGGCATTCCACAGAGTGTCTCTGTAGTGTGTCTTCCCCTCCCAGTCACTGGACATTGAGACATCATCCCAGATTGCACCTCTTATAAATAAAACTGCAGTGGATGTCTTTGTGTGCACATCTCTTTCCTTTTGGGTGAGAAATGGCAAAGGTCAAATCCCTGTCCAAGGACTCCTGATGTCCCCTATCCCATCCACTGAGTGGCCCTTTTTGACCACTTGTTTGCGCAGGCCATAGTCCAGGAAGGAAATGGACAGACTGTCCTTGTCCACATTTCCTCGTGTCCAAACAAGGCTTGGGGGTGGGGGTAGTGTTGCTTTTTTTCTCACAACTGTGGAGGCAGCTAATGTATGTGTGTTCAGCCCTGTATTACTAGTCTGGATGGGCAGAGATTTCCCCCTTGTGGGAACAGCTTTGCTAACCCATGCCTGTTGCTCATAGCCTGATCCATAGAGGGGAGCATACTTGTGAATAAACTGGGCACTCAGGAACCTGCCTGAAGCGGGTGCTGTCTAGGAAACCCCAAGCCCCTGGTCATTGCAGGAGTCATTAGACTGCTGTTGGAGCCATATGGAGGATTATGACTAATGGCAGATTGGCCAGAGTTGGTTCTCCAGCCACCCATGGGCTGAGAGAAAACTATGTAGAGGGGTGGTTAGGAGTGAGCAGCTGAGTTCCAGCTTCCTGTCTGTGTGATCTCCAACAACTTGTAGCCTCTCAGGAGCTGTTTTCTCACCCATAAAGTGGATACCCCCTACTTCATCGATTCTAAGATGCACATATCTCCACCCTGTGACTTCTCTGAAATTGAGATGCGTCTTTCAGTCAGTGGCATCCCCTAGTTGCTGCCAGCCAGCTGGTATTCGTGATGAACTCATGGGAACAACTGTGGACACCTGCTAAGACCAAGATGGCAACACATCCATGCATCTTAGATTTGATGAAATGTAAACAATGAGAGGCACGTATGAGCTAATGCTGGGAGGCATTTAGCACTGCTTTTGGTTCAACAGAATTGGTCGGTAAGGGCACCCCCCCTTCCCACATCCTGAGTAGGGGTTCAGATCAGTGCCCCTAAGGAACATGGAGCCACTTGGGGGTGGGGAGTAAACTGTATGCCCAAGGGAATATACAATACAATGAGTTGGGAACCTTTTAGAAGGTCTTCAGCAGCAGAGGTGTGAGTAGAGGTGGTATCTAAAGTGAATCTTGAAGGATGGATAGGATTTGAATGTGTCAGTAAAAGGGTAAGATTCCAGGGGAGAATGGCAACATAGGTAAAGCCTGGGGGTGCCCTGGAAGGTGCTTCATGTATGGCTGGGACCTTGCCACCTCTTCCTACCTCACAAAGCCTCTGTGTCTTTGCTTCATGGAATTATCAGGTCTTCGGCCACCTGCCTGCCTAGCCTTGGTCAGGAAGCAGCTGAGCTGGACAAGGACTTCATATCATGTGGTTCTCTGAGTTGTATCACTGGGCCATGTCGACTGCTGGCAAAGCCAGGCTGTTGAGACAGTCTGGGCCTCTAGACCAGCTAGCTACATTTCAAAGAATGTTAAAGACTTTCCATTCAATCAGACTGCAGACCATCTGGAGTGGAGTAATAGGTCCAGACAGACTATATATTTTTTTTTTTTTCAGACTACATTCTTAAAATAGCCTCAATAGGAGCCAGGTGCTGGTAATTCACACCTGTAATCCTAGCTACTCAAGAAGCTGAGATCTGTGGATTATGATTCGAGCCAGCCCAGTCAGGAAAGTCCCTGAGACTCTTCTCCAATTAATCATCAAAAAGCCAGAAATGGCTATGGCTCAAGTAGTAGACCACTAGCCCTTTGCACAAAAACTCAAGGACAATACTCAGACCCTGATGTCAAGCCCCAGAACCAGCGCATGTGTGCACACATGCACACACACACATGCCTCAGTAGGGTTTAAATAGCCCACACATATCTGGATGCATGAGTTGCCACTGTTCCTGAGAAGTGGCTCTAGGGTACTGGGTGGGATGGTTGTCAGGAAGCAGGTTAGTATGTGCAGGCTTAGATTGTATTCAGCAGCCCTAGAGGAAACAAGCCCTCAAGGGTTAGCCTCCTTCACTGTGCACTGCAGATTTGTGAACTCTGCGGAGATGTCAGATCAGGGTATAGGGTCATATGTAGGCCTTCTGGAATAATGCTCCCAAAATGAACGTTGTTGGACATACCACCCAAACTTCCCTCCTGAGGCAAGTCTGCACCGCACTGCCTAGCTCTGTTCAATTAGACCAGGTCAGACCACACAGTATGACCTTTTCCAAGGTTAGAGACAGACTGTTCTATTTCACCTTGTCCCTCTGTGCTAGAGAGGGTAAGCATCTTCATGCTATGTCTATTGACCATTCTGTAGCACATCTTATGTTCTTTGCAGTCTCTTGATGAGGTTTCCACCCTCTCTGTAATCATTAACAGCTCTTTGTAGATTAAAGATTTAAATCTTTGTTAAATACAGAAGTGCTCTTTTCTCTTTGCCTTTGATTTTGCTATGGTCTTTAAAATTCACCTACAGAAGTTCAGTGTTTATGTTTTCACATTTGGTAAGCTTCTATCTTTGCATGTGTGCTCAGAAAGCCTCTGCCTGCCTTGAGATTAGAAGAACTATCATTGGTTGAAAATTTCAACTTTGTCATTTTCTTCTGTAACCCATATAAGTTTGGGGGTCTGGCTAGCCCCAGCCATGCCAGTGTTTCAAGACCCAGTCCTCTTGTTGAATGGCTGCTCTCCCCACCTGCCCACCCGCCCTCCCCATCTTTCTGCAGGAATCATGTTTGTGCAGGAGGAGGCCTTGGCCAGCAGCCTCTCATCTACAGACAGTCTGACTCCTGAGGAACGGCCCATTGCCCAGGGCTGCTCTGACTCCTTGGAGTCCATCCCTACAGGACAGGTAACACTCTTGCCTGCTTTTGGGGTCCAGTTCCTCTGCTGCAACTCTCCTGCCTGAGCTGGTCGGTGCACAATCTGAAGTGACCTGGCTGGAGTATGGCAGGTGCTACTAGGGCCTCTTTGTGTACTACTTGCTAAGGATATAGTCTTTCTTGGACCTGTCTCTAGTTGAGCCTTCATGAACTGAGTGGCTCAGGATCTGTATTCAGCATCTTCTGGCCACCATGAGAATAGGTAGTGCTCTCATTGGGCTCTTGCAGGGGAAGAGATCCTTGGACCATATGAGCAGACTGCCCCAGGGAAGGCAGTTCAGAGGGAGAGCTGCTTCTTCCTGCCACCAGCTATCCTGGGGCTGTTCTACCCCTTCCTACATATATATCACCCTGCTAGTCTGGGGCAGTGTGACTCTGTGGCTGATGCTCAGACTTTTGGGGCCCATTCCTGTGCCCCAGGACAAGAGGAGAGGAAAGCACTAAGAGTGGTTCACTTGTGTGTGTATGGTGGCTGGGCCTCTGTAAACCTTATCCCTCTATTGCCCAGGGCCATGACCTTTGGTATAAGTCCTTCCCTGTCTCCTAGCACCCCCTGCCTCTCCAGGGTCAAATAGTAAGAGATTCCTGAGCTCTGATCTAGCCCAGTATGCAGAACATGTTGGAGACCTTGCCAGAGCTACCTGTACAGGCTCTGGCCTGGGGTTTGGGGTCAGACAGATGGTTGGGAATGCCAGCCTTGTTGTATACTGGCAGGATAAGCAGGTGGGTATGTTTCTAGACCTCAGAGTGTACCCAGGTGGAGCGTGTGGGAATTGTGAGGCACTTCCATAGGCAGCAGGCCAGGGTCCAGTACGCAGTAAGTGCCAGAGAGTAACTAGCAGGCGGGGCTGACTGCAATTTCTTCTTTCTCAGGCAGCTTCTGATGACTTAAGGGATATGCCAGGAGCTGTTGGTGGTGCAAGGTAAGGAGTTTGTGAAATATGCTCTGAACCTGCTGCCCAGTTTCCTGTACGCTGTCAGCTACAGGCTGGGGTAACCAGCAGTATTATTCTTTATATAGATTTCTATGCCAGTCCTGAAGGTTGAATTCAGGGCTTGGGTGCTCTCCCTGACTTCTTTGTCTCAAGGCTATTGCTCTACCACTTGAGCCACAGCTTCACTTCTGGCTTTTTTTGGTAGTTAATTGGATATAAGAGTCTCACAGACTTTACTTCCTGGACTAGCTTCAAACTACAGTCCTCAGATCTCAGCCTCCTGAGTAGCTAGGATAAGAGGTATGAGCCTGTAATCCTACTGCTGCCTAGCTACCAGCTGGATTTTGTTAACAATCTATCACAGATGTTCTATATAGCTTTCCTTATTTAAATAAGCACTGTTGGCTCAGGCCTATAATCCTAGCTACTTAAGAGGCTGAGATCTGAGAATCACAGTTGGAAGCCAGGCTGGGAAGAAAAGTCTGAGACTTATCTCCAGTTAACTACTCCCCAAAAAGTTGGAAGTGGAGATGTGGCTCAAGTAGTAGACTGCTAGTCTTGAACAAAAAAGCTCAGGAATAGTACCTGGGCTGAGTTCAAGCTTCAAGACTGGAATGTGCATACCTGCACACACACAAAAGCACTGATGAGATAGATTTTGATCCATTTTCCTTAAACTTTAGCTTTGCTCTGCCACAGTCTGTACCAGACTGAACCACAGCTACTTACTTTTTTCTTTTTGGTACTGGAGATTGAACCCAAGATGTACTAGGGATTGAACCCAGGATGTTGTTGCACTTGCTAGGCAAGCGCTTTGCCACTGAGCTACAAATAACCGCACAACTACTTCCTTAAATCACTAAACAAGGGACGCAAAGGGGCAGCCACAAATCATGAAGTATTAGCTTCCTGACCCTGTTCCCACAATGTTATGCTTATGAGGGCTGGAGAAGCCAGGAGGAGGTGGAATTTAGACGTGAAGGTCTAGGGCCTGCCCCAGTCTTCTGTCCATGGAGACTCCTGGGTGCCCCTGAAGGTGGTCCTTAGGAACATCCTGGAACACACTTTGCTCTCAGGGTGCATGGCAATATCTGAGTGTCTGAGTGGTCTGGCCATTTTGTTGTAGAACCAGTGTGGTCTAGACAGGGCTATGTTGGACAGCTGTGCTGTGAGCCCACAGAAGCCTGGACTCACTTAGCTTCCCATGCTCTTAAAAGAGGTTCAGCTGTGTTGGAGTCGCAGGAGACCCATGAGTTGGTTCCTTAGGAACAAGGTGCAGCTCAGAATTCAGGTGGGTGCCCCTCTCATGTCCCTGACCCAGCCTGTCCCTGCACAGCCCAGAGCATGTGGAGCCGGAAGTACAGGTGGTGCCTGGGTCTGGCCAGATCATCTTCCTGCCCTTCACCTGCATTGGCTACACAGCTACCAACCAGGACTTCATCCAGCGCCTGAGCACACTGATCCGCCAGGCCATTGAGCGGCAACTGCCTGCCTGGATTGAGGCTGCCAACCAGCGGGAAGAGGGCCAGGGGGAGGAGGAGGAAGAGGAGGAGGATGAGGAGGAGGATGAAGATGTTGCTGAGAACCGCTACTTTGAGATGGGACCCCCAGACACAGAGGAAGAGGAGGGTGGTATCCAGGGGGAGGAAGAGGAAGAGGAGGAGGAAGAGGAGGATGAGGAGGCTGAGGAGGAGCGCCTGGCACTGGAGTGGGCTCTGGGCGCAGATGAGGATTTCCTGCTGGAGCATATCCGCATCCTCAAGGTGCTGTGGTGCTTCCTGATCCACGTGCAGGGCAGCATCCGCCAGTTCGCTGCCTGCCTTGTGCTTACAGACTTTGGCATCGCTGTCTTTGAGATTCCTCACCAGGAGTCAAGAGGCAGCAGCCAGCACATCCTGTCCTCCCTGCGTTTCGTCTTCTGCTTCCCACATGGCGACCTCACGGAATTTGGCTTCCTCATGCCGGAACTGTGTCTGGTGCTCAAGGTGCGGCACAGTGAGAACACACTCTTCATCATCTCTGATGCTGCCAACCTGCACGAGTTCCACGCCGATCTGCGCTCCTGCTTCGCCCCGCAGCACATGGCCATGCTGTGCAGCCCTATCCTCTATGGCAGCCACACAAGTCTGCAGGAGTTCCTGCGCCAGCTGCTTACCTTCTACAAGGTGGCCGGTGGCTGCCAAGAGCGCAGCCAAGGCTGCTTTCCCGTCTACCTGGTCTACAGTGACAAGCGCATGGTCCAGACAGCTGCGGGGGACTACTCGGGCAACATTGAGTGGGCCAGCTGCACACTCTGCTCCGCAGTGCGGCGCTCGTGCTGCGCACCCTCTGAGGCCGTCAAGTCTGCCGCCATTCCCTACTGGCTGCTCCTCACACCCCAGCACCTCAACGTCATCAAGGCCGACTTCAATCCCATGCCCAACCGTGGCACCCACAACTGCCGCAACCGCAATAGCTTTAAGCTTAGCCGTGTGCCCCTCTCTACCGTGCTGCTGGACCCCACACGCAGCTGCACCCAGCCTCGAGGTGCCTTCGCTGACGGCCATGTGCTCGAGCTGCTTGTCGGCTACCGCTTTGTCACTGCCATCTTCGTGCTGCCCCATGAGAAGTTCCACTTCCTGCGCATCTACAACCAGCTGCGGGCCTCACTGCAGGACCTGAAGACTGTGGTCATTGCCAAGACCCCTGCAGCTGGAGCCAGGCCCCAGAACCCCCTCGTGGATGGCCAGCCAGCTGAGGGCAGGGCCAGGTGAGACTGGAGAGCATGGGGCTGGCACGGGTGTGATCTGTGCACATCAGCCCTCCACTTTTCCCTAAACCCTGACCACCCTCAGGTCTGCCATTGGCTCCTCTGAGCCTGGTGCCTGGCCTCTATCAACAGAACTTTAGAATAAGCTCAGGAAAGCTCTCACAAGTATGGGTTAGCCCACAGACTCCTGCCAGCCATGCTGGACAGGTCAAGGGAGCTTCCTCACACCGTGCCTGCCCTGTCAAGGGTCGTCATTCTAACCCTGGTCCTGTCATCTGTTCCCCTAACCCCAAGTATGTCCTGTAGGCATCACCCCCTCCCCATCCCCAGCAGTCTTGTGCCTTGACTGACGGTCAGCCAGCCTGTCAGACTCCTTCCGTCTCTGAGAGGAGCTCCCAAACATGCTCTGTTAGCCCTTCACAAAAGGACCGAGCTCCCCCGTAGCTTTGGGACTATTTCCCAAAGACCCTGTGTGGTAAGAGTGGCAAGGTTGGGATGTCTGGGCTGGGGGAGGGGGTTATTGCTTTCAGGACTCCTGTCATGTGGGAACACTGAGGTATTGAAGGGGACAGAATTGTCAGCCCTGTCTTCCTATTCTTCACACTCTCCTCTTCCCCTGCTGTCTCTTGGAGTCTGACTTCCCCTAGACTCCCTCCTAAGAGTCCCTGCTGGTGACCAGTGCCCACCCCCCCCTCCACAGCTCACCCCCATCTGAGGCTTAAGAGGAACTGTGGGCCCTTGGAAGGAGCCTTTGCCTCCTGTTGGTGGCTTTCTGACTTCCCCTACTGGGAAGGAAAGCTCTTCATCTGTACTCATTTCCTAATACACATTCTAGGTAATTTTTTCCCCTTACTAATAGACAGTAGACACCCTGTTCTCACCCTGGCTTTTCTCAGCATCTCAGGGTCTAGCTGTCTGTACCCCAGCTAATAATTTTGCATGGTTCCCCATTACCTCTGTCCTCTTATGCCCAGCTTGAGACAGGAGCTTAAGTGGGAGGTGGCCCTGTGTGAGGCTTGTCTTCACTTCCCTGCCATCTCTAAGCCTGGCTTGTACTTGGGAGTGGGTATAGAAATGGCCTCCTAGCAGCTGCATTCCCATCCCAGGAGAGCAGAAGGGCAGCCCAGGAGCCTGATATTTGACTGAATACACGATCGCAGCTACAGACAACTCAGTAGCTAGAGTGGGTCAGGTTGAGAGGGCGATTCCACGGCACTCCCCTTCAGAGGGGGTATGGCTGCATAGACCAGTTGCAGCCCCTCTTTCCAACTGCCGTGAGCTTTGAACTTCTGAGCATCACTTGGTTTCAAGTCAGGAATAGACCAGTGACAGTTCAGCATGCACATGTGCAGTGGTGGCTGGGTAGGCTAAAAGCCTGTGCCACCTAAGGACATCTATAGGCAAAAAGACAATTTGAGTTTTTGATTCTCACCTCTGTGTGTACCGTGGCACCTAGATTAGCACTCTGGACACTGAGGTGGCATTACACTTTGCCACCTTTTCAAAACTTCCAATCCATAGGCCAAATCCTAGGCTACATCTGTCTAGCTGGCTCAGCCCTGTGGTAGCCTACTGCCCCTATCTGCCCATCACCTACCTCCCCAAGAGCCCTGGGTACTTCCCTTCCACTGTCCTGTCCTTCCATAAATAAGCTGGTGATGAAGTGTCAGATGACCCTGGGGTGGCATGTAGTATATAAGCAGCAGCTTCTTTACACAGGGAGGTTGTGTGATGAAGCCAATTTCTGTGGGGTCCATGTATTAATGTGGTATTTCTTGGGACATTGGGAGATACAGCAATGACCAGGGTCCCCCGGAGGTTGCAGCCGAGGCTCTGGCTCCAGCTCCAGCTCCCGCTCCTGCTCCAGTGGCAGTCCAGATACCCAGCTCAGCTGCCACAGCTCCAAGCCCATCAAAGACATCAGCTGTAGCAGAGACCCTGGCTCCAGCTCCAGCCCCAGCTCCACCTACAGTGGAAGCCCCAGCTCCAGCCTCAGCAGAGGCCCCAGCTCCAGCTTTGGTCACAGAAGAGGCCTCAGTAGAGACCCCCATGGAGTCCCCAGCAGAGGCCCCAGTGCAAGCTGAGGCCCCTGCCCAATACCCAAGTGAGCACCTGATCCAGTCCACCTCAGAGGAGAATCAGATCCCCTCACACTTGCCAGTCTGCCCGTCACTGCAGCATATCGCCGGCCTACAGGGAAGCGCTGTCATCGAGCTCTTCCACAGCAGCATTGCCGAGGTATGGGCCAAGTGCTGGTCTTGCTGGGTGGCAGTTGTGGTAAGGATGCACGGATACTGCTGAGACACAGCCAGTCCTGAGAATGAGGTAGAGCTTGTGTGGGGTCAGTGCAAGTCCTGACATCACATGGTCTTTCACTTCAGCTGCGCACACATTTGAGGGCTTGAGGTACCCCAAGCCAGTAGTTTTCTCTGCCTCTCGCCACTTGACCTTGGTCAGCCTCTAGCCCTGGGACCCCTCCCCCATACCCATCTCCCACTTCTCGGGTCCTCTCTACCATTGAGTTTATAGACATATCCATGAAATAAGGTGCACTGCTCAGATCTCCCATCCAAGGCCACAGGCGTTTCCCTGGGTTGTGCAGGCCCCCATATTAGTTGAACAGACAGAGATGAAGTATTGGTTAGGGGAGGTTCTTCATCAGGAGTCTGTTATCAGGTGTTGTCTAGGAGGAAGAAAGGTATACCCCTGCCATACCCAGCCTCTCTGTGTCTAGGTTGAAAATGAGGAACTGAGGCACCTCCTGTGGTCATCAGTGGTGTTCTATCAGACCCCGGGACTGGAGGTGACTGCCTGCGTGCTGCTCTCCACCAAGGCCGTGTACTTTGTGCTGCATGACGGCCTCCGCCGCTACTTCTCTGAGCCACTTCAGGGTAGGCACCTAACCTGGAGAGCTGGAACACGTGCTGGAGGCAGGCTGAGGGCCAGCTGTGTGCCTCTAGCTGCAGGACTTTGGCTCCTCTGGGCTGAAGAACCCCTCATCTGAGGAAGAGGGGGGATGACAACAGCACTTCCCTCCTAAAGCCCTAAGGCCAGGTGTAAATGCACCATTCCAGGGCCCAGCAAATGCTTGGGAACTAGCTGTCACGAGCAAGGACTTAACAGCCTCTGCTCTCTGGGGTCTCTGTGGGAGTCTTAGCCCAGGGACTAGTGATGCTGCTGAACTGTTTAGACCCCTGACTAAGTTGCATATGTGGCCTTGCATACATGGAGAAGGTGTCAGTTCCCTCCCAGGTGACCTATTCCTGCTAGACAGGCTGACCTTTGTGCTCAACTCCCCACAGCCACTCTCAGTCCCTTTTTTCCACAGATTTCTGGCATCAGAAAAATACTGACTACAACAACAGCCCTTTCCACATCTCCCAGTGCTTTGTACTCAAACTCAGTGACCTGCAGTCAGTCAACGTTGGCCTTTTTGACCAGCACTTCCGACTTACAGGTAAGTGACCCACTGCGCTGTGTCCCAGTCTAGTGAAAGCCAGTGTTAACTAGTGGGCTTCCACTTTCCAGATGTGGGTGCATTGCCATAGGCACATTATCTCTGCTTACAAGCTTGCTAACTAGGCAGGCGGAAGCAGCTTCAGGAACTGCTGAGATTGCAGGACTCAGCAGAGGCTCAGAGCAGGAGGTAGTGTGTGCAGGGAACTCCAACCCAGACGGCAAAGTGGGCCCTGAGCTCAGAGGCAGGATGTTTCTGACTCATACTTCCTGAAGAGAGAAAACTAAGCTTTTTCTCTAATGCCTCTGTATCCCTGTCCAGAAAAATGTCTCAGCCCTTCCTGCTTGAGATATGGCTGCTCTCCCACATGGGTCCTCCTAGCCCTGGCTCTCTGGGCCAGAGACCTGGCAGGGGGGATTGGTAATAACCAGTGGCTGTGTCCCAACCCTTCCTTCACAGGCCCCTCCCCGACGCAGGTGGTCACATGCTTGACACGGGACAGCTACCTGACACACTGCTTCCTCCAGCACCTCATGCTTGTGCTCTCCTCTCTGGAGCGCACACCCTCACCTGAGCCTGTTGACAAAGACTTCTACTCAGAGTTTGGGAACAAGAGCACAGGTACACTGTTCAGCTTGGGCTGCACGCCAGCACCCAGGTGGACATCAAAGGCCCCTGAATTCCTCTCTGCTTAAGAGTCCCCTCTCTCTGCCTGTCCCTTTCACTTGGTCTCTTGTCCTGCTTAGCTGGTAAGGATTTTCTATAGATCTTTTCCTTAGCAGGGTCTCCATCCCAGCAATCCCTCTCCCATCCAGCATACACATCTCTAGAGTCAGTCCTTAGCCTGCCTCTCTCATGTGGGGGTCTCTAGACTGCTGGTCCTTCCAGTCCCACCATAGGCCACAGTCCTGGTGGCATCTCTCTCTGCAGGGAAGATGGAGAACTATGAGCTGATCCATTCAAGCCGTGTCAAGTTCACCTACCCCAGTGAGGAGGAGGTTGGGGACCTGACATACATTGTGGCACAGAAGATGGCTGACCCAGAAAATGCCCCAACCCTCAGCATCCTCTTGTATGTGCAGGCCTTCCAGGTAGGCCCACCACCACCTGGGCGCTGCAGGAGCCCGCTGCGCCCCAAGACACTCCTGCTCACCAGTGCCGAGATTTTTCTTTTAGATGAGGACTATGTCCATTACCCACTGCCTGAGTTTGCCAAAGAGCCACCGCAGAGAGACAGGTACCGGCTGGATGATGGCCGCCGTGTCCGGGACCTGGACCGTGTGCTCATGGGCTATCAGCCCTACCCACAGGCCCTCACGCTTGTCTTTGATGATGTGCAGGGCCATGATCTCATGGGCAATGTCACCCTGGACCACTTTGGGGAGGTGGCAGGTGGCCTTGCGAGGGGCAGCCAGGGCCGTGAGGTCCAGTGGCAGGTGTTTGTCCCTAGTGCTGAGAGCCGAGAAAAGCTCATCTCACTCTTGGCTCGCCAGTGGGAGACCCTGTGTGGCCGAGAGCTGCCTGTTGAGCTTACTGGCTAGTTCAAGCCGCCTGCCTGCTGCCTGCCTTGTCTGGCCTGGTGCCTGTTTAGAACCAGGAAGCAGGCTTTCTTTGTTCTCTTGAAAATGTTTTCTTCCCTGCCCTTGGTACCTTAATTTGATTGTCCCTGCAGAGAATGTGAACATGTGTATTCAGTTAACTCTTTCTATTGCTGGATGGTGAGAACACGATCCCCCTTCGGGGCATCCATGTCAGCCTCACGGGGTGTGTTGCCGGCCCCTGGAGTGGCAAGGCCAGGCACACCGGCATCCTGTATGTTGTGGTGCTGTTAACATGGACACAGTGGACCTGACCATCTCTACACTACACGTCCTTCTTGAAGTGTCAAGTCCTGTCCTGTGTTGCTGTTGCTGTCATTGTGGGCATTTTGCTAATTATGAAGCTCCTGCCCCTTGCGTCTTTCCAAAGTGGAGGTCTTTCATGGTCCAGAAAAATGGGGAACTCCCTGTAGGGAGTCTACCCAAGCCTTGGAGCTACAAGGGGTGGGGGCAAGGGACCTAGAGCTGTCAGCACCTAGATCTGTCAACACCAAGTCTGTTTCCTGTTGCATATTTTCTCTATTCCAATAAAGCAGTTTGACACAGTCTGGGTCTTCTGGATCAAGGGTCACTGGGGTCTCCACAGAGCTTCACCTCAGAGAATAAGCACAGAGAAGAGAGGCTTCCTGGAAACAGGACAAGGTGTGGGAGTGGGGGTCAGATGATTGTTGAGACAGAAGGGTAAAGGTGAAACCAGGATTTTAGACCCAGGCCCAAAGTCCAGGAGTCCTAAGTTCAGTTCAGCCTCTTTCCCATATGCCAAATAAAAAGACATGGTAGCTGGGCACCAATGGCTCATACCTGTTATCATATCATATCATACCTGTTATACCTACTCAACAGTCTGAGATCTGAAGATTGCAAGTTCTTTTTTTTTTTTTTGGTCTGGTCGTGGGGCCTGAACTCTGGGCCTGGGCGCTGTCCCTCAGCTCTTCAGCTCAAGGCCAGCGTTCTACCACTTGAGCCACACTTCCAGCTTTTTTCTTTTTGCTTATGTGGTACTGAAGAATCGAACCCAGGGCCTCAGGCATGCAAGGCAAGCGCTCTACCGCTGAACCACCTTCCCAGCCCCTGAAAATAGCAAGTTCTAAGCCAGCCCAGACAGGAAGTCCATGAGACTTACCTCAAATTTATCACTAGAAAACCGGAAGTGGATCTGTGGCTCAAAGTGGTAAGAGTGCTACCTTTGAGCAGAAGAGCCCAGAGATAGCGCGCAGGCCTTGAGTTCAAGCTCTACAACAGACGAGGAAAAAAAAAAAAAAAAGACGGTGAAGGGCAGAGAAAGGTGGTTTATTACATGGCAGCCATAGGAGACAGCACTTTAGTACATCTTTGGCCATCTTCAGAGATACTGACATTGACTTCAAGGGGAGAATTGGGGCAGAGAATTAGAAGGGTATGAATAGTTAAAACAATCCCAGGTCATTGGTGTGCCTGGTTGACCATTCATTAGCTTCGTCTTTGTCTCTGGGGATTTCTGGATTACTGTTGGGAAAAGTTGCCTGGCGGGTGGCCTCCTGAGTTTCTAGGCCATTTCTGGTAAGAAGATAAGACATTATCAGGGAATCTTTCTTGGAGCCCCAGGTGATTGATTGCAAACAGACTACAGCAGAAAATAATTCAGATCAAAGGGCGCAGATACAAAGTTGAGGGCCTAGCATAAGCATCTTTTAGGTTACATCTTACAAGAGGACCTCTCTGGATGGGCCATTCTGAGCTGTGGCCAAATCAGGAACCTGATGATGAGAAGATGTTCATAAAACTGCTCAGAGCAGTTGAGAGCAGCCCAGAGCTGGCCTGGGGAAGAAGATGTTGGGGGAAAGGATGTGATGCCATTCTGCATCCAGCCTGCCCTGTGGTGCAGTGCTGGAATCCAGGGCAATGGAGCCTGCCTCTACTTACCAGACTACAAGGTATCTCCTGCCATATCCACTCCAACCCAAACAGTCAAGGAGGCCAGTGTTCCTGGCCCAGGCCACCTCCCAGGGAGAATGGTATGCTGAGAAAGGAAGCTCCAAAAAGTGACACCCCCTCACCCACCAGACAGTTTCCCCTTTACCACTCATCAGGTTGTCTTGCATCTGGGCCTAACCCCACCTGAAATTCACCTAGCTGTCGGGGTAACCCCTAGAGTCAGCATGTCTGCCAGCATGTCTGCATTTGGGGTCTTCGCAGGATGGATCTTAAATGGCAGCAGGGGGCAATGGACCCAGGTGGTAGAGAGTGGAGAAAAGGGCCCCTGCTTGCCCCAGTCCCAATGAGAGAGGCAGGTTGTCTCGGGAAGCCCTGAAGTGTCGGTGAGGGCCGATTCCTGTGCCCCACTCTTCATCCTTTCCTACTCCAAAGCTCTCCCACTCTTCTCTCTGGCTTTCTTATGAGCTCAGCTCCTAGGGCTGCTGAGCCAGCAGAATTTTGGAGAGTAGAGGTAAGGACCTGCTCTGCTTCCCAGTTTTCACTTGGTGACAATGGAATTGGAAATCTTGGCCTGGAGGACCTGCTGCCCTGAAGAACATTATGAGGTTTCGTGGGAGGAACAAGGGGCAGAGGTGTTGCCCAGGGAAGAGCCTCCCACCTACAATGGCCCTCAGTCAAACCTCAAAGTCCAGCCCAGTGGCCCTACAAACTGCCTGGGTGGACCATGCTAAGGAGAGCCAGGTGAGCAGTTCCTCAGCCAGGCCTTTATCACAGGTGTTTGCAGTGTGGCTTTGCCTCTTTCCATCTCTGTTGATTCCCACTGAAGTCAGGGGGTATTAGGGCTGAAAAGCTCAGTAGAGGAACACTTAACATCTATAATTCTGGCACTCACGAGGCAGAACTATATGTTGTGAGCACAGTCTGGGCTACATAGAGAGGGGAGGGGGCAGGAAAAAAAGGGTTCCAGTGGTTCATGCCTATAATTCTACCTAGTCAGAAAGCTAAGATCTGAGGATCATAGTTTGAAGCCAGCCAAGGCAGGAAAGTCCGTGAGACTCATCACCAATTAACCACAAAAAGCTGGATGTGGAGCTGTGGCTCAAGTCTTGAGCAAAAAAAAGCTCAGGAACAACCTCTAGGCTCTGAGTTCAAGCCCCAGGATGAGCACTGTGAGAGTCGGGGGCAGGGGAAGAGGAAAGGGGGGGTACCAAGGTACTGCCAACTAAAGGCAGGGCTCACCATGTCCAAGCCTGAACTTCGTCCTCAGGTGGGTCCTCCCACTCGGGGAGTCTGGAGCTGAAACAGGTCCTGTGAGCCTTAGTTTCCTTACCAGTAACAAAGATGATAAAAGTAACCACCTTCAAAATATCTTTGCACAGTCCATGAATAAGAAAATTAATGACAGGAATGTGTAAGAGCTATTGTGGAAGGCAAGTACTTGTATGAAAACAGAACAATGAGGGGCTGGGAAGGTGGCTCAGTGGTAGAGCGCTTGCCTTGCATGCCTGAGGCCCTGGGTTCGATTCCTCAGCACCACATAAGCAAAAAGAAAAAAGCCGGAAGTGGCACTGTGGTCCAAGTGGTAGAGCGCTAGCCTTGAGCTGAAGAGCTGAGGGACAGCGCCCAGGCCCAGAGTTCAGGCCCCACGACCGGACCCACCCCAAAAAAAGAAAAAGAAAACAGAACAATGTTCTTTCCACACCTCAATACTGAGTACCCTGTCTTAGATCCTGTCTCTCATCTCCCACAGATAGAAAATAAACTAAGGCAGTGCCAACTGGTGGCCAGTGGTAAAGGAGATCAATCAGAACCTGGATCCAGGGGGCTCTCTGAGCTGGTGGCACTTGTGAAAAAAGGAAAATCTTGGACTAGGGTATTAAAACACCTGCAGCATGCATGAGGTCCTAAGTTCCCTTCCCAGTACCACAAACAAACAAACAAACAAAAAGTGGGGAGTAAATTCCTCTGTTTATAGCTTCATTAGCTAGTGGATTCCAATTGACACTGAAGCACAGTGCTGTGATTGGGAGTCAGGAGAGATAGGAGACAGGAAAATTATATATACAAAAAGGGGGCTGGGGGCTGGGAAGGTGGCTCAGTGGCAGAGCACTTGCCTTGCATGCCTGAGGCCCTGGGTTCGATTCCTCAGCACCACATAAGCAAAAAGAAGCCAGAAGTGGCATTGTGGCTCAAGTGGTAGAGTGCTAGCCTTGAGCTGAAGAGCTGAGGGACAGCGCCCAGGCCCAGAGTTCAGGCCCCATGACCAGACCCAAAAAATAAATAAATAAATAAAAATAAAATAAAGCTTTAAAAAAAAGGGGGCTGGGAAGGTGGCTCAGTGGTAGAGTGCTTGCCTTGCATGCATGAGGCCCTGGGTTGGATTCCTCAGCACCACATAAGCAAAAAAGAAAAAAGCCAGAAGTGACGCTGTGGCTCAAGTGGTAGAGCACTAGCCTTGAGCTGAAGAGCTGAGGGACAGCACCCAGACCCAGAGTTCAGGCCCCACAACCGGACCCCCCCCAAAAAAATAACTATATATATATATATATATATATGCCAGGAAGCAACTGACAAGGCATTTAAGCTTCCCTCCATTTAAATGCTGTTACTAGTCCTAGGAGACCCAAAAGGGGCTATTTAAATCCCCTGACAAAATCCTGGCAACTCTGGAACTACAGACAGCAAGATGAGAAGTTTATCTGGAAAAGGAAGTCCTAAACCACTTGTTGTCCCTATGTTTTAACTAGGTCTGGAGACATCACCATAGGGTAGAATAATCCCATACCAGGCACCCAAAATCACTGCTGAAGCATTAGAGGGTTGCTCAGCAACATGACCATGTGTTTTCCACCAGCGCAGAAGGAATAAAAGCAGCAGGTAATAGCTGCCATTTTGAGTCTTTAACTCCCATTTCCTGCATAGGAAACAGGAAATTCTCTCTCCCTCCCTCCCTCCCTTCCTCCCTCTCTCCCTCTCTTTCCCTCTCTCTCTCTCTCTCTCTCTGTGTCTGTCTCTGTCTCTGTCTCTCTGTGTCTCTGTCTCTTTTCTGTCTCTGTCTCTGTCTCTTTCTCCCTCCCTCCCTACTTTAACCCCATTTTACCAAAACAAATCCTGGCTAAAATTTCCTAGAGACTTTCCTTTTTGTGAGATACTCTGAAATGGTTTTCCACATATGGTTCTCAAGGACTGGTGATTTTGTGTGGGAACTAGGAAATGAGTGACAATTGAATCCACTCCAGTCTAGTCTATTCGTCTATTAGGTGTGGGAGCTCAGTCCACACCAGTAGCTTTAACCCTTCTTACCTAAGACTGTCTGAGAAAAGGGGCCAGCTGTAACAATCAGGATTAGGGCTAGGGTTAGGGTTAGGGATAAGCAGTATAGCCCACATGCCAGGTGTGCTCACCTGAAGGAAAATGCCCCAGTAGCTGGAGCAGAGCAAAAGAGGCTGTGGCCGCCATGAAGCGGTATTGCAGAATGATGAGAAATGGGATGGAACACATTTGGGGTCTGGAGTGGTGCCGGAAGCAGGAAATTGGGGGTGGGACAGGTGCAGAGAGAGAGGGTCCACCTACCTCTCCTAGTAGTGGGGAAGGTTTAGGCTAGAGCTGGGGCTCCATAACCTCCCAATCAGCAGA